TTAAACAGCTATAAAAGAACGAATTTTACAAATTACGATAAAAAAATTATTGAAAAATAATGAAGAGGATAAGGATTTGTGTTGTGCATGAAAATTCGGTTCACTTCACTTCTGACAAAAGTGACAAGTTTACATGGCAAAAATAGTTTACATGGCAAAAATATATAGGGTATTTTTTTTAAAAGTAGTTATCTTTATATATAAAAATAAAACTTTTGATATATTTGAGTAAATGATTTATTAATTTATTTATTTATTTTTTTTAAATCAAATCATATAAATATATATATATAATAGTGAAATAGAACAAGAGATAATTATTGATGATTAAATTGTAGACGAGGATAAAAGTTTAGATAAATTAATAAAATTAGTGTAATGCATGAAAATTCGGTTCAATTCATTTTTGACACTTTACATATATCATATTGCAAAAAAGTTTTTAAAATATGATGTATGAATAAGAGTATGATTGGTATAGATTTGGGTTGTATAAATGTGATTGAACAATTGTTAATGGAAAGTTCAAAAACTTGGGTGCAATCAGTTCTGATTGCACCCAAGTTTTTGAACTTTGTATAAGGAATTGTTGGCTATGATGTACTGATCATGAATCAGTACATCATAGCCAACAATTCCTTCGCAAACAGCGGGAAACTTTGTCTGAATAGTTTAACATTCAGACAAAGTTTCCCGCTGTCAGAGAGGGAATGGAAGGGTAAGAGGTATATATTCATAATGTATACCTCTTACCCTTTCATTCCCTCGAGAAAGTTCAAAAACTTGGGTGCAATCAGTTCTGATTGCACCCAAGTTTTTGAACTTTGTATAAGGAATTGTTGGCTATGATGTACTGATCATGAATCAGTACATCATAGCCAACAATTCCTTCCCAAACAACCCGAAATTTGTCTGATTCCACACTAATTTTATTAATTTATCTAAACTTTTATCCTCATCTACAATTTAATCATCAATAATTATCTCTTGTTCTATTTCACTATTATATATATATATTTATATGATTTGATTTAAAAAAAATAAATAAATAAATTAATAAATCATTTACTCAAATATATCAAAAGTTTTATTTTTATATATAAAGATAACTACTTTTTAAAAAAAAATACCCTATATATTTTTGCCATGTAAACTATTTTTGCCATGTAAACTTGTCACTTTTGTCAGAAGTGAAGTGAACCGAATTTTCATGCACAACAAATTAATAAAATTAGTGTGGAATCAGACAAATTTCGGGTTGTTTGGGAAGGAATTGTTGGCTATGATGTACTGATTCATGATCAGTACATCATAGCCAACAATTCCTTATACAAAGTTCAAAAACTTGGGTGCAATCAGAACTGATGCACCCAAGTTTTTGAACTTTCTCGAGGGAATGAAAGGGTAAGAGGTATACATTATGAATATATACCTCTTACCCTTCCATTCCCTCTCTGACAGCGGGAAACTTTGTCTGAATGTTAAACTATTCAGACAAAGTTTCCCGCTGTTTGCGAAGGAATTGTTGGCTATGATGTACTGATTCATGATCAGTACATCATAGCCAACAATTCCTTATACAAAGTTCAATTTTCATATTTCATGTATGTAACTCTCTAAAACTATAAATCTGATTTTCATTTTGCAGATCCACTTCTTGTCTTTCCATTTTTTTGAATCAATTTATACAAATAAACTTATAAAACACAAAATTATTATTTTATAATATAATTCTTAGATAATACATCCGATATGTAAAGTGTCAAAAATGAAGTGAACCGAAATTTTCATGCATTACAGAGGATAAGGATTTGAATCGAAAATTAAAAGGATGATTATGTGTCAAATTAAATTAAAATAAAAATTTTAGAAGATTTAGACAAGAAATAGTGCAAAGAATTAGAATTAACATAAAAATCGAAAATTTAATAAAGGAGAGATAAAATTATTGTAGTATTCAATTGAAAAATTTTATAAAATAAGGAATATTGGTAAACAAATAAGTTTCATCTAAAAAAAGGAAAATAAAAATATAAAAATTGAAATAAAACAGAAATATAAAATATTTTTAAAATGCAAAAAAGTTTCATACTAATCGTTTTTGTATAATATTTATCATTGAAAGATTATTGAAAGATATTTTGAAAGAAATCGAAAGAGTTAAGAAATATTGAGAAGAAGGACAATTGAATGAATTTTTGGCCGATTGTGCTATGCAAAGTTGATGATAATTGCAGGAAATTTTGAGATTTTCGAGGTTTTGGAGGGTGTTAGTACTATTATATGTAATAGTATCTCACACCCTCCAATTCATCCTATGGCGTCGAGAAAATTTTGGTGAAATGTCGTCACATTTCACGAAAATTTCTCGGCGCCATATAGAGAACTAGAGTCTGCGAGGTACTGATTCTATCTATGTACCTCGCAGACCCTAGTTCTCAGCCAAAATGGCTAAAAATTGCTCGCAATTGTTTGCCATGTAAACTGTCACTTTTTGAGGAGATTTGACATTCTGTCAAATCTCTTTTTTTCGTATATAAGAATACTTCAAATAGATAATGAACATGCAGAAGCTTCAATGATGAAATGGGCTCTCAAGATGGGACCAGATTCTGCATTTTCTTTTGATGCTCGTTATTCTCACGCTCGTAACCCCGATGAATGTGAATTTGTGGTTTTTGGTCCAGGTAAAAAAATAGTTGCCAAGTTTATAACAATAAGGTGTCGCCCCGATTAAAATGGAAATTTTACTGGGGCATCTACAAATATGGAAACATTTGTAGCCAGAAATGCGCTAACAAAATTATGCAGTATTATACCTCCAGAATATGTTACAGATTATGTTCATGATCGAGACAACAAATCTAAAACTGTAGTAAAAGATGTTTTTCCAAATGTAAGAGAAAATCTTGATCCTGGTCACTGTAAGAAAGGATTCGATGTATATTGGAACAAACCTATTACTAAAGGTTATGGAGATGTAGCTGGCAGAATTTTTTATGGAATTAAAAACAGATTGCATAGTTTTTACAAATATTTGATTGGCGACAAATCTATAACAAGGGAACAAAAATATTTACATTGGCAAAACGCTTTGAACCGTTTAATTGGTCAGCATAATGAATTATGCATGCATCATTATCAAAAAAAATCACAAAATATGGCAGCAAGGGGTTGAAAACGAAGAAGCTTGCCAAGCCTTACTAAAGTTCTTGAAAGAATCATAATCTAATATGAAAAAAATTAATATGAACTTACGCACAAATATAAACGAATCATACAATCAACGATCAGTTTCAATGGCCACAAAAAAGTTAACTTCGCTGCAATCGAAACTAATGAAGGATTAGAAGGCATTTTAGGAGTAATGCAAGCGGCAAAAATTAACCATTTACATAGGGAAATAATAAATTCCTTATTAGAACAGCAAAAACAAAAATTTACTCGCAATTCTTATGAAAAATCTGAAGAATATCGCAAAAAGAGAGCAATACGAAGAAGAAAGCGCAAGAAAATAGTAAAGGGCAAAGGCAAAGAAGATTACGGGCATGGTCATTACCTTTCTGATTAGGAATCTTATTCTGAATATTATTCCGATGATGAAGCTCCAAAATCCAATCCTATCCAAATATAATGTCTCTAATCAGATTAATTTCAAATAAATTTTTATCTTGTGAAAATAAACATTTAGAACTATATCGGTTATAATTACATACAGGAGTTTTCTACAGATACAAAATGGTTTCCTTGAAATCTAAGGATTTGAAAAAATTATCATTATTTTGGACAAGATACCCAAAAACAAGCACTTAAGCTTTCTATGACTATGAAATTGTATTGGTAATAAAGAAATCCTTGTAATCTTATTTTTTTAAAAAAAGATCTTATATTCTACCACAAATTCAGCCTTTCCTCCTTAAATACTAAGTACCCTGAATTCCCGAAGGATATAGGTTATGAAAATAAAGGGGATTACACCAATAAAAATTTATATTTTATTTTTTGCTGAAGAATAATATCCACATATAGTATACCAGTATAAGATGGAATATATTTCCAAAGGTCATTGGTTCAATATATTTTTGAAGCGTTTTTTTAATTTTTATTTTACATTTTTAATTCAAATTCTCACCGTTGGCCCAACCATTTTGTAGTCGAGCTTATGTTCGAGTTTCATTGTCAATTCCAGATGAGGAGAAGGCGGATTCAATATTGGAGAAACATTACGGTTCTTCATGAAATATTTCAATATTTTGAAACAACTAACCCGGAAGTTGTATGCTTCGCATATGTGTCTAGACACACAAACGTACCTGTTTACGTTGTATCATATTGGTATAAAAAGTGGCTTCTCAATAACGACTACCGTCCTGGTACCACCTTAGGTCAGGGTCAGAGACACTTCACCGATGATGAGGAAGCCAATATTGCCGAATATCTAAGAGAATAATATATCATTCCCGGTCATGCCGTCAGAAGAAAACACCTGAAAACAATAATTTTTAATTGTTGGAAAGAATTAGACCCAGAAAATCGAGCAGGTGTAACTCACAACTTCTTTTCTTGGCATTTTCTGACAAACTTCTGCGATCAGAATAATCTTTCTTTTAGAGTTATTCATTTAAAAAGAAGATCACAGGTCGATCCTCAAGAAGTTCAAGAATACATCCAGCATATCAACAGAATCATTGTTGAATACGAACTCGATGCCATTTTCAATATGGACGAGACGTCCTGGAACTTTGTATTCCGTAGGGGAGATGTTCTTGCCGAACGTGGTGCTGAAGATGTAGAGGCGCATCTCCTCCAAGACTACAAGCAGAAATTCTCAGTAATCTGCACGATAAATGCAGATGGCAAGAAGTTTCCGCCAATCTTTCTTGCAAAGGGCAAGACAGCACGATGCCACCAACAATTTGCTGACATGGAGTCAACAGATCAATATGAAGTTTTCCATTCCGCAGGTGGAAATACCGACACTGCAGGAATGATTTTTTTATATGACGCAGCTTTTGAGATGGACAGAGCATCGTCCTCTTGCTCTCGTTGTGGATCGCTATACATCTCACATATCTGATGGCGCCGTCAACTTTGCTCTTCAGCATGACATAGATTTAATTTTTGTACCAACGAGGGCCACTGATGATTACCAACCCTTGGATCGTAGGGTATTTGGTGCACTAAAAAACATTGGACAAGCAATCTGTGCTGATTTGATGTTTGAAGATGTAATTTCATTTACAAAAGCTGAAGCTGCTGACATTTTTATGCGCAGTTGGAGAAGACTCAATAAGAGAACCATCAAATCAGCATGGGCGATTTCCAATACCGACTTTGCTGAGTTAATTGCATCTGAAGACGACGAGGAAGAAGACCTGGATGATGGTGAATTCGAAGAACCCGCTACCTCTACATCTGAATCCGATGATTCTAATGCTACAGATTGAATTTTGAGTTCCAAATTATTAACATTTTCTGAAAAATTTGAAAATAAACAATTTATCATATATTATCATTATCTTTGTTCTTTGTGTAATTATAATCCTTTAAAGAATCTAAAAACTTTTTTTGTAAATTTCATATCATAAAGCAATTATCAGCAAAGGGTAGTTTCTTAAATGTATAATGAATTACTTTTAATGGTGTTCTTCGTATTCGTTTTCGTTTATTGTCATAAGGAGTAAGATATCTTAAAAATATTATTTTTTCAATTTTTTAAAAAGTTCGATAGTAAGACAATTAGAATTAATAAAATATTATTATCCAATAACATTGCCCTTGTGCATTTTGGTAATAGTTAAAGGTATGTAGAGAAAATGAACATTTATTACTTACTATACCACTCTTAAAAATTAAAATAATATTTTTATTTACCAATTTAAAATATATAATTATTAATAAAACATAAATTCACTATCAAGGTGAAGTGACCTTACGAGTAGTGCCGACACTTAAAGATAAAATTGATATATTTTGGTTGTAACAAGCTATTTTTTATTTATACAACAATTTAACATATAAACAAGTTCTGGTTAATGTTCATCTTAAAAATTTTCTGATGAAAACATCCAAAAATCGAAAAAGCGATTTCAATTTTGGCTGACGTTCAGTCCGATTCATTAAAGGCAATAATTAACTATCAGCACGTTACTCGCAATGTCAAATCTGAAATTTCTGAATCATATAAAAATTATATCTTGAGTAAATTCGAAAACCTTTTAGGAAAAATCATAATTCATCCAGGTCATTACGATAAGAATGATCTCATTCTTGAAAAGTCCGAAATTTAACCATAATGTTATCTGAAAATCAAAGATTTTCCTCCATCCCATCCAGTAACAGATACTGACTTCATGGAATGCTTTAAAATTACCGATCATGGTACGATGCTTGAGAAATATTTTCAAAATCAATTTGATTATCACGTACGGAAATGATTCCCGAAAAAGTGACAATTTGCGCGGATTGATACATAGTTGATGCGACTAAGAATTCCCTCATTGAAATTCAATAGGATATATTTTTGACACTTATAATCGTTTTGTAAACTATGACGCCTGGTGTCTGAATTCTCCCTTGTGACGCAAATAAAACTCAGAAAATTGAATGGTTTACATTGTGACGCCTCACCCATTCTAACCCATAAAATTTGGGGAAATATAGAGAGAACTCGGTCGAATTTAGCGTAATAATATTATGGGGATCCAAGGAATAGGTGACCTTGAAAAAAAGGAACGGAAAAATGAAGTCTAAAAGGAGACTTCGAGAAGTGCATGGTCCAAATTTTTAAAAACGGTTAGAGTTTTGAAATATTTTTATAAAGTTAAGGGGAAAAATGCTTAATTATGAGCTTCGCTCAAAATCATGCAAAAAAGTTAAGAATTTCGAGCGAAACTCAAAATTGTGAACTTTTTACATCTATTTTGTTGGTCATATTTGTGCCCCATCAATTTTAATACATATTATAACATATTAATAATGCGTTATTATTGAATGTAACAATTAGAATGTTCAATTCATTCTTGATTGTGTTACTGAAAGCATGCATATTTTTATAAAAAAATATCAATGATATCATATATCTCAAGTCACAAAGGTTTACTAAGTACTTAAATTACAAGCAAACATATTAAATAAAACTTAAGACAATTTATGAATTATCTGCATTAAAAGAATACATCTGGGATGCTTATTCGTAAAGTTGCATCTCATTTTTTGGGTCCTACATTTGAGAGCCCATCCTTAACAAAAGGCCAGCAAATTTTTATAGAACTTAGATCAATTATGGAAAATCCTATAATATTGAAATTTAGACAACCAGTAACAGAAGATGCTGAAAATTACATAGGTCTCACAGAGCTTGACATTTTAGGACGTATTTTGCATGTGACTGATTTTATCGGTGGAAATGTTGGCTTTGTCTTAGAAACATCTTCCAAAATTGATGATCAAACTGATTTATCTAAATTGTGCCCATATATTGTTGATTTCAGATTAACGGAATATCCCGATGACTATGAAAAACCGATCTGTGAGGATTTGTTAGCTGGAAAATATCTTTCGGACAAGATTATGGAAGCTGTACTTTGCAACAAAGATAGGGAAGAAAAGTAAAATTTCGGAATCAAAGCAATCAAAAGGATCCAAGAATATTTTATAAAAGAACCTTAAAAGTGCAAAAAACGGCCTGCCAATTTTGAATGCAAAAGAATTTAACCTTTTTTTACTTTTTCTCCATTTGTTGTGTATTTTGGCGACCAATTTATAAATATTCAAGTATTTAACACACTTTACAATCTTTTTGATCATATAAGTTGCCATTTTATGGTTCGATAAATTATAAAATTATTAGTTCGATGTTATTTTGCTAAAATTTTTATACAGTAATAGGCATGCAAATCTGGGGATTTTTTCAAGAATTTTCCAAAAATCCAAAAAAAACTTCCAAAAATCCCGAACTAAAAAATAGGTTTTTTATAACAAAAATTGACTTTTGCCTTGGTACAAAGTTATAATAAGTACCTCAAAGCCAGCAAATCATTCGCTGACAAGTAAAAAACTTGGTTTAATTTCAAATAATTTTAAAAAAATAAGTATAAATTTAATCTTTATTCTTATATTGTTGGCCTTCCTTGATCAATGGGATCTCAACCTATTCGTTGTTTCTGCAAATTTAAACATTTGCTGGTGAAACTTTCGGTAAGCTGGTCCCAAGTCATACATTTCTTGAGGAGTGTAGTGGCCACTTGTTCCAGGCTTTAATGGAAGATCGAAATGTGGGATATTGTTGTAATTTTGTACCCAATGCTGAATTGCATTATCTACAATTTCATTACTGGCGATTGGTTCAGGTAGTTGCTTCTCAAGGGAGGGCAAAACAACCTCAATCATTTTAATTTTTTTCGGACCTTTTTTGCTTTTCGTGGAGAGATATTTCGGAATTTTAAAGCATTTCTGAATGTTTTTTAGATATTGTTTGATATTTAATTGAATGATTAATTGGATCTTCAATTGGATCATTTTTTAAAATTTCGTCATATTCCTTTTCTTTTTTGTTTATTGAGTTCTTAGACTCTAATGAATAAGCCTCCGGTATTTGTTGGTACACATACTTTGGGAAATCGCTCATGGCCAAATATTCTTAGAGTTTTTTCAATTATTTATATATATATATTTAATAATTGCATCAAATTCAAAATTTTGCAAAATCCGAATTTGAGCTTCTCTCAAATTCGGATTATGCAAAATTTTAATTATCTATATATTATAAAATTAGGCAAAAATTTTGTAGTGTATGATTATTTTTAATTCAAAAAATTTGAATATCATCTCAAAAACTAAAACCACAATTAATGGAATCCTTTGATAAATATCTTCAACCAGCAATTAAAATCAAGGTTGCCGCTATCCAAAAGAATTTTTCCACTAATACCATTCTGGTATCAGCAGATATCAAGCAATAACTGCAAAATTGGGAGTTTTTCAGAAACTGGAAGAAGCCGTAACACCATATCGGCCAATAAATAAATTAAAAGGAACTTTTTTGCATTTCGACAATGCTCCCTGTCACGTTTCGAAACAAACTTTGCATAAAATTGAAGAATTAGAATTGAAATTGTTGCATCATCCTAGGCGACGGAGGGCCAGATACGACAAATGTGAAGAATGTCCATCAACGATCAGAAGGAAAGGGACATTGACATCACAATCGCTCATCTGGACCCTCCTTGACTGAATCTCGGTAATGAAAAGTATACAATATACAATAAATGTATTCTTATTCATCCAACCAGGTTCTGTCATCGAGAAAAAGGCGTCAATGCCTTCTTGTTCTTCATCCAGCTTCTTTTTCCTTGGCATGATGAATAAAGGCCTCATTGTAGAGCCATCTGCGAATATCGTGCAGACTCCTGTTATATGTGTCTTCTCAGCTGGACGGCCCTGACCCATCGTTAATACCTTGTAAGAAAGATGCCAAAAAGTCCAAAAAAATTAAAATCTGACAGCGAATTGGTCCGAAATTTTGTAGATATTTTACTTTATCTCAATATACCTTCATAAGCTTGGTATTAAATTACTATTGTAAGGAATTATCTGCTTGAGTAGTCACCGTATATTATTCATGTATGATTATTATCTTTGTATATGGAATACACACGAATTAATAAAATGTTCTTTGTCATTTACTCCATTAATTTCAAAAGTTAGTTTTTTGATTTTAAAAAGCAGTGTTTTCATCTCTTGGAATGTATTTGTGCCTTCGTAATAGAAGTTTCTGTTTAGATTGGAAGAAACTTCTGATATGCGCCGCATCACAGGTACTTCTCCGAAATGCATTAATAGTTTATGATGAGCAAATCCGAATACCAAGACATCTGGACATGTGATTCAACCATCCCCTGGAAAGGGATGGGCTCAAATCATCATGCTTGGCAAGGAGGGGACCTGCATGCAATCAAGATCCGCGTTGCAAATTTATACCTCTTATTCTGTAAATCGCAGGAGACTGCCATTGCGATTGGGGATTTATGCAGTTAAGATCATACATATGGCAGTCCCAACGGGAACCGCGGTAATTTACCGAGGTTTCCGCACACCGGTTCCTTTTTTAGGAATTTTTTAGATTAAAAAATATGCTTTGTAAATCATTTTTTGTAAATCGGCAAAAATTTGGAAATATTCTGACGACAATAAATCTGGGAATAGTATTTGAAATACGAGAACAACCTATTTAAAAGTGTTTCGCTCGATTTTGTATAATTTCAAATTTTCACATATAGCTTTCCGTGAATTACCGTGATTTTACCGCCACATCAATAGTTTACGACACTTTTTCCGTAAAATTGAGTTACGGGAATCCGGAAGATTACCGTACCTCACTTCTAGTTGAAAATAGCATTAGTATATAATAAATAGATATATTATTCATATTTTTGATTTTGAATTACGGAAAAAGTGAGTTCAGAACTTCCAATTATTATTTGATTAATTATGTTAAAAATACTATAACGAATTAAAATAGATAATGTTGAAATTTGAATTACGGAAAAAGTGAGGGTGAAAGTGAAGTGAAAAAGTAAGATATTTTTTGTTGAAATAATCATAGTTGTACAATTTTGAAACTATATGTAAAGCTATAAATTGAATAAATTCAAAAACAAAAATTGTTTATTCTTATTAATAAATTTATATTAATCAATATTTGAACAACCCGTAATTAAAATTGAATTCCTCTTAAAATTTAATCCATACGTTAATTTTTAATTTGCTCGGCGAATGCCGAGCTTCCCTACTTCTCTTGTCATTCCTTCAAAAACTCTAATCTCATCGCACTTACAAACATCATGATTTGATGTATTGTCGAGAAATCTTAGACTTGTTTGTCATTTGATGATAGCATTTGAAAGTCATCTCGAAAATCGATTAACAAGACAATTTCCCAAACATCTACATACAAGTAGATGATGGTAAACTCATTAGAGTTGTTTTGCTATGATTCCTCCAATCTTATGATGAGAAAAATCATATTAAAACAGCTCTAATCGAACATTCTACACAGCTTAGCATCCAGCTAGTTCCAAGTAATGCGATTACAACATCAACGGCCAAAGCCTTTCAGAGTCCTTTAATCATTTCTTCTCATCTCAATGTGAAGTGGCCCCAAACGAACTACAAGCTGACGTTACAACGCATTACAACCCGGTTAATACGAGCATATACATTAGAGCTGCTTTGTTATGATCTCCCTCATCAATTGATGAGAGATCTCATTATGAAGCAGCTCCAATCAAACTAAAAACCTACATACAAATGAGTGAAAACAAATTCATTAGAGTTGTTTTGCTTTGATTTCTCTCATCAGAAAATGAGAGATACCAGAATAAAACAACTCTAATCAAACTTTCTACACAACTCAGCACAGTATCAATGCAAAGTAATGCGTCTGTATCGTTAACAAGCAAAGTTGTTTCGGGTCCTTCCATTTTGGAAGAATTTGGAACAACTTTGCGAATTGATAGTGTAAACACATATACATGAAAGCGTGCATGCATAAAGACAGGTATTGTCAGCAATGACTACCTGCCCAGCTATGAGTGATCAGAGAATTACCATCTCAGGCTTTTTGAGAACGTTTCAGCCAGGACCCTCGTATGTTGACTGTGAGAAAGGCATCCTTTATCTGAAATAGATGCTTTTCCAACAATCAAATTCTAAGATCTTCGACGTTGTTGTAAAAAGAGAAAGAGAAGGAAAGAAGAGGAAGGAGAGGAAGAAGGAAAGGAAAGAAGAAGAAAAAAAGAAAAAAAAAGAAGGACATATTAAATATAATGCGCACTTAATAGTGCCGAGGCGGCGGAGCCGCCGAGGCGCGATTTTTTTGACCCTATATTACCGCACGGCAATGTTTTTCTCGATTTTGTACAGCCCTAATCATACATCATTTCCTGAGCGAGCTTCATGAAGAGTATTTCGTCAGAAATTGATAGGAGTGTTATTCCTCCTCCAGGTTGTTCCCTTCTCAACCAAGATCTCGGACAACTTTAAGGTCTTCAATTTTTCACTCGATTTTTTTCGTCATTATCACAAAAGAACACTCACCAAACCTTTGAAAATTATGAAGCTAATTTAATATTTGTAAATAATAAAATATGAAATTATATAAATCTATCAAAAAAATTGTTCCATGGCAATTGAATGTGGTATCGGGCGAGTGTGGGACAAACTATCCAGTGTCACTTTTTATTAACCTTATTTTAAAAAATTAATAAAATAATAATAAAAAATTATTTGAATCTTTTACATTAATTGTTTCTTTTTTAAAAGTACCTTTAAAGTACAATAAACAAGATTTGAATCTATTGATCCTTGTTGCAAACTTGAATATATTGCTTCAAGCATTTTCAAACATTCGACTTTTTTGTTTTCCAATATTTGTTCATGGTCATTAGCTTTTCGTAATATACGAACAACTTTATCACTATTGATTAATTGAACTTTAAATTTAATCAATAATGCTGGAACAACCGTTGTGTATAATTCAACAACAAAATCGTCTAATCGAATATTCCTTCTCTCTGGGAAATAAGAATGCTTGAGAACTTTGAAATGTGACTCACTGACGTTATTAGTCGCGTCACCTCCGTTGCGATAGCGCTTATTCCAACGATCTAAATGATGCCTCCATTGCCTATCGAAGTACTTTTGGGCTTTCGGTTCAGTGGAAAGAATTTCAAGAATTCGATCATAAACTGCATCTAGGTCTGCAGCTTCTTCTTGAGTGAGGTGCTCTGGAACTTCTTCACTTGTTTCAAACGTTTCTTCTTCTGGAATAAATTCAGAATCGTTTGGATCATCAGAAGATTCTCGTGGTAAAAAGATTTGAGAAGGTTGAAATTCATTTTCGATGAATTCTTCTTCATATTGTTCCTCTTCTTCAATTTCTTCTGCTTGAAGTAAGTGAGATTGAGCTGGTTCCTCTCTAGGATTTTCTTCTTCTTGGTTCTGTTCTTCCTCGGGAGATTCTTCTTTAGTATCGAATACTAATAATTTCATTAGATTATAAAATTCTTCAAAATTGTCTCGTGATTTAAACTTATCCGCTTTTCTTAATATGGCGCGAAGGACATGCACGCCACACCAAAGAATATGACAGTTTGGAATACCTCGCTCAATTGCCTCGGCTATTTGTGGGGCGCAGTCCATACTTATCATCTCGGGTTCTCTATTAATATATTGAAAATAACGACAAACACAATATTGAATATTTTCGCTTGTGTCAGGAGAAATAAAGAAATACAAAAAAGGAAAAACAATAGTATGTTCTGTTTTTCCTGTGAGTGCATATAATGGAATGTTAGCCCTTAGAAGTTTATACGTTGAATCGATGTGAAACGTAGAAATTTGGTGACCAAGGGCCTTCGCTTCGAAAGGTGCATATAAAAAAACTAGTTTTCCCGGCTCAGAGATAAATTCAATTAAATCTTCTGGACAACTTTCTTGAACATATTCGACAAAGATAGCTAAAGAAACTTTTTCATCCGAATTAAAGCGTTTGGAAACAATTTCAGCTCTTTGAGCAAATTTACGTAATGCATCTGGACCTTGTGCAAATATTGAAAGTAACTCTTCGTCTGTATATGAAATATTTAAGTCTTGGAAACACTTAAGTTGAGCTGTAGCATGATTCATATTGTTTTCAAAGTAATGTTTAAGATAATTTCTGACAAATAATGAGGATATTGTTTTTGTTGATTTCGGAGGTGCAGAATGATCATGAGAATCAGAGTGGATTAGTAGTTCATATTTATCTTGATCTATTATCCGGACTTTGAATTTAGCTTGACATTGTGGATACTTACATTTGTATTCGATCGTGGAGTATTCTTTCCTGCATTTTTGAGAGTAGCCCATGCTAGCTTTTATCTCTTCTTGGATACTAAACTGGAGGAGCTCCATAGTGTTGAATATCACGGGCTCCATACAACAAATTGAATAAGGTATTTCAAAATTTGAAGGAAATGGTCCATCATTGAATGTAGTGACCGGGAATTGAATGACATACAGATAGTTTGAGGAAATTTGTTATAAATTATAATATAATTGAAGAATTAATTATCAAAACAAGTCTAAGAGCCATTTGTCAGATTTTCCCGAAATGCAAGGTTAAGATTTTAGCAGTGACTAACTTTGAGTGTACATATATAATTGTTATACTGAGTACTTTCTATCTGTGTTACTTATTTGAGTCTAAGAGTCATTTCTACCATAGAACTAGATATTGTCTCTCATTAAATATATATAACTGTAAACTGCTTAATTCATTTATCTATTTAGATAAAATTATATTTATATAAGATTTCATGTTATTATTTCATCTTTATTTTTTTATTCCTTTGAAAAGTGACACTGGATAGTTTGTCCCTTTCTCGGTATCGGGCTATTCAACAGAC